TTTATGACGTCGAATATTGACGTCATAAACACCAAAGTTGTTCGTGTTTATGACGTCGAATATCGACGTTATAAACACCAAAGTTGTTCGTGTTTATGACGTCGAATATCGACGTCATAAACACCAAATTTGTTTTGTGTTTATGACGTCGAATATCGACGACATAAACACCAAATTCTTTCGTGTTTATGACGACGAATATCGACGTCATAAACACCAAATTCGTTCGTGTTTATGACGTCGAATATCGACGTCATAAACACCAAATTTGTTCGTGTTTATGACGTCGAATATCGACGTCATAAACACCAAAGTTGTTCGTGTTTATGACGTCGAATATCGACGTCATAAACACCAAAGTTGTTCGTGTTTATGACGTCGAATATCGACGTCATAAACACCAAATTCGTTCGTGTTGATGACGTCGAATATCGACGTCATAAAAACCAAATTTGTTGGTGTTTATGACGTCGAATATCGACGTCATAAACACCAAATTCGTTCGTGTTTATGACGTCGAATATCGACGTCATAAACACCAAATTTGTTCGTGTTTATGACGTCGAATATCGACGTCATAAACACCAAATTTGTTCGTGTTTATGACGTCGAATATCGACGTCATAAACACCAAATTTGTTGGTGTTGATGAGGTCGAATATCGACGTCATAAACACCAAATTTGTTCGTGTTTATGACGTCGAATATCGACGTCATAAACACCAAAGTTGTTCGTGTTTATGACGTCGAATATCGACGTCATAAACACCAAATTCGTTCGTGTTTATGACGTCGAATATCGACGTCATAAACACCAAATTTGTTTTGTGTTTATGACGTCGAATATCGACGACATAAACACCAAATTCTTTCGTGTTTATGACGTCGAATATCGACGTCATAAACACCAAAGTTGTTCGTGTTTATGACGTCGAATATCGACGTCATAAACACCAAAGTTGTTCGTGTTTATGACGTCGAATATCGACGTCATAAACACCAAATTCGTTCGTGTTTATGACGTCGAATATCGACGTCATAAAAACCAAATTTGTTGGTGTTTATGACGTCGAATATCGACGTTATAAACACCAAATTTGTTGGTGTTTATGACGTCGAATATCGACGTCATAAACACCAAATTCTTTCGTGTTTATGACGACGAATATCGACGTCATAAACACCAAATTCGTTCGTGTTTATGACGTCGAATATCGACGTCATAAACACCAAATTTGTTCGTGTTTATGACGTCGAATATCTACGTCATAAACACCAAATATGTTCGTGTTTATGACGTCGAATATCTACGTCATAAACACCAAATTTGTTCGTGTTTATGACGTCGAATATCGACGTCATAAACACCAAATTTGTTCGTGTTTATGACGTCCAATATCGACGTCATAAACGCCAAATTCGTTCGTGTTTATGACGTCGAATATCTACGTCATAAACACCAAATTTGTTCGCGTTTATTACGTCGAATATCTACGTCATAAATTATGCGCATAGAATGGGGTCCATTAAGCCCGAGATATAACTAACTAACTGGTCTAATTGTTTTAAAAACATGCCTAAGCCACGACAAAGTATTCAAGGTAAATGTTTTTCGTCTTTGTTTTGTATTTTTTTTACATTTGTAGCTACGAAATTGGCGTCACCAATTTTAACGAAATTTGAGATGCATTTTTCACTGTTTAGTGCTTGAAATATTTGCTGAAGTAAAATTGACTGGAAATACTTAGAGATTTCATCGTAGAATGGCGTAGTTATATTCATTTGCTCTTTGACTACAATGTTTAGCTGTACTATTACTAAACATGCCGTTTTTGAGAATTTGGTTTGCATAGGTCACAGAATAGAAAATAAACCAGAAGCCTCACTGTGCCAAAATTATGTCCGAGATTTTTTATGCGCAGGCGCGAGCCAGCAAGTGTAATCCACGCCATCAAACGCAAGCAATTACGCCATCAATTGCCATTACCAGGTAATAAAGATTGCTGTTTTAACCGTTTTGCTGACGAACGCTGACGTGATGTTCGCAGCAAGTGTCACACACGTCATCTAGCGTGCGAAATTCGTGATCCGCAAGGCAAAAATCGCGGACACGAAAACGTTAAGGAAAGGTGTACAGTGAGGCTTCTGGTCTATTATATATTCTATGACTGGGTTTCAACATCCAATCACGCCATCATCCCATTGAAAACATTAGGTCACGTCAGCTAGTTTCCTATCCATTTATTTTATTATCCATGATATAAAGTAAAGTCAGTTGGTAGTAGAGGTCAGTTAGAACTAATTTACGATTACTAGTCAGTTAGAACTAATGGACCTATTACCTAATGAACAAAATTTTGATCTAAACAAGTCTAGACAAAAGTTTCATCACAGCTTGAAAGAGCATCACAAAATTAGTAATATTCCAAAGTTTCGTTGCGAAATATTGTAAAATGCGGATAATATAGCCCTGCGAAGTTTGCCGTTTTTCAGTCATTTTGTATTACGCACGGGAAATTGATACAGCTTTCTGTAAAAAGTATCAATTTCCCGCGACTTACCTTTCAACGATTCCAGTGTTGCTCTTATTATATCTTCATCATAATCATGCTGTCAAATATGAGCAAAAAGAAAATAGTTGTGAAGATTAAATGTGAAGATCAGAAGATAGAAGTGAAGACTAGGCCGGCTGGGCAGAGTTTTTAACAAGACTTTGGACAGCTCGATCGATAGAACTATTAGCAGATGGGTTTTTTCGAGCTCTTAACCAACTGAGCTACAGAGCCCAGTTGTCGAGCTCTGACCATATATACAAATGTGATGCCAATGTATGGCGTATGCAAACCCTGGCAAAAAGGTATGCTGAAAACAGCCTTACTTTATGGGAACTCACCAGAAGCCGCGGAGCATTTCGGAAGTGGAAGGGCATTGGCCAAAAGGGGTACTTTTGTACATGACCAAATTCAAACGATTTTATGTCCTTTGCGAGCAGAACAAAATTTTTTGAAAATATGGAGTCTCTATAACGCCGGAAATGGCCTTTACCGACAGTCTTTACTACTGTGAAAAGGGCACTTTCTTTCCAGCAAAAGAGGGCGTTGATTCAAGAAATACTTTTTTCGTTCTTAAAATGGGGCACTTTAGCCCAGAAAAAAGGCACTTTTTCACATTTAAAAAAGTGGGAGGGGGGAAGCACATACAATCACTGCCCCCCCCCCCCAGTTTCGCGGCGTCTGGAACTCACCAAATAATAAATTTCTAAGATGCTAATTATATCATAAAAAACAACGTTAATTACTTTTTCCACCGTGTTTTCAACGACGTGGGCATCCAGTTCCTTAAATTCTCTTTTGAATTTCTCTTTCACTGAAAAAAACATTTGTAAAATTGCTTGAAAAATTATGAAGCTACGAATTGAAAATACATTAAGCAGAACACGACTTTGATAGGGGCTTTTCCAATTTTAATTTTGGGTTTGACCAATAGACAATTCCCATAATAGACTAATTTTAAAACTAGGCAAGGAGATGCAAATAAATCACCACAGCTAGAAAGAGCATACTAAAATTGCAAAGTTTGGTTGCGAAATGTTGTAAAATGCGGAAAATATAGTCATGCCAAGTTCGCAAATCTGGTATACTTTTGTATTGCGCGCGGAGATTGCTACCACATTTGGGCCGACAATAGTAGCCGAATTTCCGCACGCAATATAAAAGTATACAAAATTTGCGAACTTTGCAAGGCTATATTTTCCGCATCTTACAACATTTCGCAACCAAACTTTGCAATTTTACTCATTTTAGTATGCTCTTTCCCGGAATATACTTTTTTGCCAAGATAAAAAATTAGTCTATAATGGGATTATAGGAATTGTGCGTGGAGAGCGCTATCCTGCAGCTTGTCGTACAACTGGCCTCCGGTCAATAAGAAAAGCTTACTGTTGATTTTATCATGAAACAGTAGACGTTTTTGCTGATTATTCTCCATCGAACTGCGTAACAAAGCATCTCTCCATTCATCGTCCTCATCGTCTTCATCATTCGAAGGATCAATCTAGAAATGTACACTATAATCCTCAATTTCCTAGCTGGTATAAGACGCCGCGAGTACGTACGTATTTAACACAATGTCTAGGCATATAAATTGTTAGAATATAACAACTGTCAAACTGTAGTTTTTAGCAAAAAAACTGTAGTTTTGGGGTTTTTTTTTCAATATATTCATAGCTACATTACAGGAATACATATATCTAAATTGATCTCTTTGTGGTATTTGTACTTTTGTATTTGGTATTTTATAAATTTACGACAGGAAACACATTATAATAAGACGTCAAGCGTATTACTGCAATATTCTCTGTTTTTCGACATTGAACAATTCATCTTTTGATATAACTCGTCAACATAATTTGCGACGAAAATCGCGTTTTGGGTTGTTTGTATATGACTGAGCATAATGATCCATACGCTAATTAAAATTATCTAGTAGACTAGTAATATCGCCCATTATTATCATAATACATATACACAATAGTCAATATCTGCCAAATTGTTTTTAAACCATCTATGCCATTAATAATGAGCGAGACTCTCTCCCCTTGACGAGTAAAATCGTACTGCGTTAGACAGAGTAAAATAATAAAGTAAGGTACAATCAATGGTAGCATCCTCTGCAAGCATATTTGTTCCTGCATGGCCTTGGGTTAATAGACCTTTCCCCTTATGAGTGAAATTTTGATCTAGACAAGTCTGGACAAAAATTTCATCACAGCTTGAAAGAGCATCTCAAAATTAGTAATATTCCAAAGTTTCGTTGCGAAATGTTGTAAAATGTGGATAATATACCCTTGCGAAGTTCGCCGGAAATTGATAATCAGATGATCAAACTGATTATCAATTTCCATTTGTAATACAAAAATCAAAATGACTGGAAAACGGCAAACTTCGCAAGGCTATGTTATCCGCATTTTACAACATTTCGCAACGAAACTTCGGAATATTACTAATTTTGCGATACTCTTTCAAGCTGTGGTGAAATTTTTGTCCAGGCTTGTCCAGATTAAAATTTCACTCATAAGGGGAAAGGTCTATTTCCATGTATATATATCACAATCTGTACCATTCTCATACATAATATGGATTTGGCCAGAGCCCCTCGTCGCACCCCGCATAAGAAGGGCTCTGGGTACGAGAATGAATCTGTACTGAAATTTACGACGTTTTCAAAAATGCGCGCAGACGAAGCTGGGAGTCGATTACCATTAGGAAATCGCCAATTGTAAAAGGAGAAGAAACTATTTGTTTATTGACTATTGAGAACCCAAATGTTACTTACTGAATATTGGAAACCAGTTTCCTATAAAAAATAAAGATTAAAATGAATAAGAATTGAACAGCGCTTGACCTTTGGAAGCTGATAGGAAGGATGACTTCACCTTTGTTCGCGCTGCCGATGACGTTTGTCCTCTCGAGTGTGACTGTGCAGATGACTGTCGAGACTAAACAAAGATTTTCAAAGAAAATGAGTATAAGGCAAGAAGAACGAATCCAACAGCACATGCAGCTAGAAAGAGTGTCTTAGAATGAGTAAAACTGCAAACTAAGATTGGTTGCTAAATGTTGTAAAATGAAGAAAATATAGCTGTGCAAAGTTCACAATTTTTTATATATATTTGTATTACACCCAGTAAAAATAAATGGGCACAATGCCACTTAAAGGGTTAATGAATCGAATCTATGAGTGAATTATAAGGTAAATAATTTTTCGCTACAATTCAATAATTAATTTGATGAAATAAATATTGTTATTGTTATATATTAACACACTGTCAGACAAGTCTTACCGAGAATTCTTGCATTGGAATCTGTTCAACAGGCCGATAATGTTGTGCACCGACATGAGCAAGCCTTGGATCTGTCCAAGTTGTGTTTTGTGTGAAATGGTTTATGAAGTAACTAAAGTAGAAAAATAAGTATGATTTAGTAACTAAACCTGCAGGGGTTCAGGGGACATGTACAGCCTATCTAGTGGTGTCTAGCATCCCCCTAGAGAAATCCAGCACCAGCCTAAGAATATCATGGTTAAATATATAAACATGCCAAGGTTGTTATACAGCCATCAGACGTTCCAACTTGACATCTCCAAAAATCGGGAGGTCTGGTAAAGGCAAGAAAACGTTGACCTCTAGTGTGACTGGGTATAAAATTTAGAAAATTTAAACTTTCTTAAGAAGCGCCATTTCTTGATTCCAAGACTCGCGAATACAACAACTGTAAATTTCCGCCTTTCATGCGAAATATTACGAAACTTTGTCGTACAAAACACCCCTTTTGGCGACATACCGCTTTTTTGTCGATCCGACAACCGTTTTTACCGTACGCGAACAGCTTTTACAAGGATTCTTTTAGAAAAAGTAAATTTTTTCTTTTCATTCGTAAAATCGGGAGGTTTAAATATAAATCGGGAGATCGGGAGATTTGCCAAGAAATCGGGAGCCTCCCGATCAAATCGGGAGGGTTGGAACCTTTGAGCCATATTTTCACATATACTGTACTTTAATTAACAAGCAAATTTACTGTCCAGTGTGCTACAGCAACTGTTCAGTCATGCAAACGTGCTAAAAAGCCAATCGATATAAACTTTATAAACAAAAGATAATGTAAAACGTTAACAGAACAGTGAACATGCAGATTCGGCCATCTCAAATAATGGTAATGTTGGGATAGTAGCGTTGCAGACAGCAGAGGAGAGTGGGCAGTAAGGCTCCCTCATGCACCACCCCATGGAAAACCTACAACGCTCCTTGCAGATGAGAATAGATCGATACGTAACATATGCGTTATGCATATCCTCAATAATCCAAGATGGAGAACAGCTCACTTTTTCCAGTCGAGATATTTTGAAAACTGAGCAAGATATAAACAATCTGTTATGAAGTTTAATATACAGTTTTGAGAGTTCTTTACAGTAAAATGAACTAAAATAATTTTTTATTGCCAATCTCCTCCAATTTAAAGGTGATCTAGTCAGTCCGATCTGCGCATGTGCACAAATGAGCCCACTTTTTATGATACAAACAGTTTAACTATGTTTTGAGTTCTTGAAAAGCCTGATTGTTGTTTCTTGATCATTTATTATACTCTAGAAGCTTGAAAATATAAATAGTTGTCGAATAAAGTTCAATATTTTGGACACAAAAATGTAAACAAAGGCTTTGTTTACATATGGACTGTAGATCACCTTTAAGAAACCAAATTGGCAAATATACTGATACAAATGTTCATCTTAGATTAATATCAAAAAGTTGACAGCCTACATCAATATATAATTTCATAAATAATATTTCATAAATAATATTCCGTAATAAATTTAAATGGCTATTAAAGCCCATATTTTGCAGTTTGACATGTATAATTTATATTTTTGTGAAAAGCTTGGATCATAATATACTTCAATGGCTAAATAAACCAAAGATTAAACTCTTAAAACATGCAACACGAATCATCATATTTCTGGAAATTTTATTCCACATTTCGATACTTTATATACAAACATGAAAATATTTGAAATATGACAAGTACATATGTGATATGTTGTGCTACAGATTTAGGGTCAACGGGATATATTATATTTCAATGCTTTACAAAACCCGAAGCTCTATTTCCTAGACATCTAACACAACGATTTAGCTTTTATTCAACTTACTATCTGCCGTACTGATCGTCCCATCTGGCTTCCCAGCCGGGTGGAAGTTGACCGCTCGTCGCCATTTTGTTACTTTTTGGAAGGTGTTTTTTAATTTTCACTGTCAACACAGGAAGGTGAACCCTGGGGGTTTTGTACCTAGGTCTTTTACCCGATGGGGATAAAGACACTCATTAGCATAAACGGCGAGCAAAACGCAGAAATAACGTTAATTCTTTTCATTATTTGCAGTAAACACGTAAAAATCTCACAACTTGTCAACAAGATGTATTCCCATGTATTTACAAGTTTGGAACAAATTGTTATCATCTTGATGTCTGCATCTTGATATAATCTTGAATGATCTGTACCAATATATACACACGCAAAAATCTCACATCTTGTAGCAAGTCTGCCAACAAGTCGTCAACAAGTTGTGTTCGCACTGCTTGTCCCAAGTTTCGAACAAACTGTTAACAACTTGTAACAACCTTGTTGATATTATCAGACTTGTTGCAAGGTTGTTCCAACAAGTTCGATACAGTCATGATATAACAATGTTGTTACAACCTTGTGTCGTCAACCTTGTAACCAGGGCGAAGTTGTAACATTCTTGTTATATCATGATTGCATCGGACTTGTGAGAACAACCTTGTAACAAGTCTGATAATGTCATCAAGCTTGTTACAAATTGTTAACAGCTTGTTCCAAACTTGTTATAACAACTGGGAACAAGCAGTGCGAACACAACTTATCGACAGCTTATGAACCGATTTATAACTAGTTTGCAGACTTGTAATAACTTATTCTGCGTTTTTACGTGTGTACACGCAGGAATCTCACATCTTGTAGCAAGTCTGCCAACAAGCCGTCAACAAGTTGTGTTCGCGCTGCTTGTTCCAAGTTGTTGTAACAAGTTTGGAAGAAGCTGTTAACAACTTGTAACAACCTTGTTGATATTATCAGACTTGTTGCAAGATTGTTCCAACAAGTCCGATACAGTCATGATACAACGATATTGTTACAACCTTGTGTCGTCAAACTTGTAACATTCTTGTTATATCATGATTGTATCGGACTTGTTAGAACAACCTTGTAACAAGTCTGATAATGCCATCAAGCTTGTTACAAGTTGTTAACAGCTTGTTCCAAACTTGTTACAACAACTGGGAACAAGCAGTGCGAACACAATTTGTCGACAGCTTGTGAACAGATTTGTAACAACTTGTGTGTTTTTACCTGTGTACAAAAGGTTGATGACGGTAACAGACTTGTTACAAGTTTACAAGTTGTTCCAACAAGACTAATACAGGCTGTTTGTAACAAAAGTTTTGTGATCATCTTGTAACAAGGTTGATGAGGACAACAGACTCGCAACAAGTTGTTCCAACAAGTCTGATATCGTCTGCACGTAACAAGTTCTTAACAAGTTGATGACAACAAGCTCGTAGCAACTTGTTACGAACAGCCTGTATTAGTCTTGTTGGAACAACTTGTAGCAAGTCTGTTACCGTCATCAACCTTGTAACAAGATGATAACAACTTGTTCCAGACTTGTCACAACAACTGGGAACAAGCAGTGCGAACACATCCTGATATCGGCTTCACAACAATCTTGTTACAACTTGTTTGCAGATCTCTAACAACTTGCGCGTTTTTACAGGCAAATAAATAAGATTTTGTTTAATTTTCTTATTGAATTGCAATATATATTTATAAATATCGATAATTAAAATACAGAATTTTTGTACTCTACCATATTCGTACCGGTAAACACCAAACACTATATTCTAAATTAAACCTTTTAGTTCTTCAATTAACATCCAATTAAGTGTTAATCTACAGTGTCCGCGAATGAAATTTATAGTTTTTATGCGTGTAAAATCTATTTAATATAATGTACAGTGTAAATTTAACCCCCAGTAAAAAAATCGTAATTATGATGCGGTTGTATTTCAAATTAGTTGGGTTCGTTATATTTATAAATTGAACATTAGAAGCGCCTTTTATGCATGTGTAAAACTCTCCCTTGTATATTCAAACTACTCATCTTTTCAAATATAGTTCAGACACAAATCACGGCAGCTTTTTGATGAATACTACCTACACTGGACCACCACGTTTGAGATATCTTTTTCAGGTAGTTCACACACAAACCACGACAGCTTATTGTAGAATACTACCTACACTGGACCACCACGTTTGAGATATCTTTTTCAGGTAGTTCAGACACAAACCACGACAGCTTATTGTAGAATACTACCTACACTGGACCACCACGTTTGATATATCTTTTTCAGGTAGTTCAGACACAAACCACGACAGCTTATTGTAGAATACTACCTACACTGGACCACCACGTTTGAGATATCTTTTTCAGGTAGTTCAGACATAAACCACGACAGCTTATTGTAGAATACTACCTACACTGGACCACCACGTTTGAGATATCTTTTTCAGGAAGTTCAAACACAAACCATAGCAGCTTATCGTATAGAATCAACTAGTTTATACAAAGCGTTATCTAGCAAAGCGACCAGCTCTCGTCTCGCGATGACATTCAGTATAGATTAATTTTACAAGATACAGATGGAATCCGATAATCAAGAATGCAACGCCCGCCCAGAATGTGGCTGGCAGGAAGCTGTGAGATTCTCTGCTTTGGAAATGAGTATCTGAAAAAAATACGAAAACTAAATCAACATTGTCTTTGAAAACTCACGAGTGTTTGCTTCTCAACATTGGACAAGAAACCATGGGGTTTTAACCTCTGAGCTCGTGGGTTTGATTCTCGCTACGGACTCATGTGAAAAGAGTCAGTCAACGCCCTGCCGAAAGTCGTGTGTTGTCCCCGGGTGCTCCGGTTTCCGCCCACAGGGAAAGTTGACAGGGTAGGTATGGATATATATCGAGATTTTGTTGGTATTTCACTCGATTCAGTAATAGTCGAAGGGTGTTGTGGATGGAAATTATCAGAGAGACAGTTCTCGAGCTCTAACCAACTGAGCTACAGAGAGACAGTTCTCGAGCTCTAACCAACTGAGCTACAGAGAGACAGTTGTCGAGCTCTAACCAACTGAGCTAGAGAGAGACAGTTGTCGAGCTCTAACCAACTGAGCTACAGAGAGACAGTTGTCGAGCTCTAACCAACTGAGCTAGAGAGAGACAGTTGTCGAGCTCTAACCAACTGAGCTAGAGAGCGACAGTTGTCGAGCTCTAACCAACTGAGC